ACAAAAAATAGGACATTCGTTGAAAAAATTTTGCTTCCGTTACACATGGAATTGATTTTGATTAAGAAGAAATATAAGAATCAAAGGTAAAATACAGATTTACTTGTCAGACCAACCGTAACGTCAGCCATAGAATTTATCTTTCAATAGTAAGCATTTCTCTTTTTGTGTCTTGGTCCTACATTATCTTCAACTAGAGACAAAATATGCACTTCGTATAACTAGATGTCTCGATGAATATACAGACCCCCAACAGAGGTGCCTAGTCGTGAGGTGAATAAATTGTCCTCGCCATCCATCGAGTTTGCTGTCGTCAAACGACCGATTCTAATTTTTTTGTTTTACTTTCGCAAATGAAGAGGTTTTGAAACTCTCTTAATTCACTAAAATCTTCTTGGTGTCCATAATAGTGGAGTGGTTAGCATATCGTGCGGAAGGTCACGGGTTCGATTCCTACTCAATTAAGATAATTTTTTAAGTGAAATATCTTCAAGTAATTCAGTTTTGCAAAATTCCAGAAAATTGTTAATTTCTAAAACACTCAAGCATGATTGCTACTCAGTACTGCTCTGTATTTTATCAGAATCGACATTGCTCTAGAAACGAGTCAACCATACGCGTCAAATACATAAAATACCAATATTTTTGAATTTAATTGGATATTTTATTAACCATTAATAGAATTATCTGATTTATGTGATTGCTCGATATCATTCGCTACAGACAGGAACAGAGCTTGAATTCTTAAGAACCGGCCAATAAATTGTTCTGCCGAATCACTATCGATGTGTGTGGTCTAGCGTTGTTGTAATTCACTTCCTGTTGGCCAAAGCTATGCGCTTCTTTCTGACGAATGTTGGAGTGAAATTTCATATGGACAAGAAGTCATAAATAATTCATAAAACTAAAATTTTTTGGGTTCTTGTTCAACGAACACTTTTCACAAAAATGTTTCTTGTGGACTCGATGATATTGTCAGCATGTGAGAGTCATTCGATTAATTTTGGTAAACTGAAGTATTCACAAGGGCACATTTCTGTCATTAAAGTGAAAACATTGTTAGTATAGAAATAAAAAAAAACTAAAAAATTCAAATATGGCCAGTTCGGAATTGTGGTTCGGCGATTTTTCAGATGAGAAGTAAAAGTATTGCCGAAACAACTTGAAATATAAAAACTTCATAGAGGCTTCCGACTATCCATAGAGGCGTTTGTGGACTTACTTGTTTTCAAACAATTATCTACATATGTTTGTAGTCTAATTCCCCTTGCTGACGTTTTTTGCAGCCTGAATCTTTGTGCAAATTCCTTTCGCTAACAGAGGATTTTGCTCCATAAGAGAATCGAATTAATACAAATATTATAAATTTATTTTAACATAAAAGTTGAAAATAATCACAAAAAACTTTCAAGATCGCAACCCATAATACGAACTAGAAATTCAATATCCAATAATCAACGAAGAACGGTTAAATATTCTGCTTTAAAATAAGTTTAAAGGATCTTATATACTTATATATAAAAGAGAATGTACAATGGGTTATTGTGAAAAGTTTTCAAAAACTTGTTGTTAATGATTCATAGTATCTCGAACAAGCTAAAACAAATCATTTGCAACTTGAGGGAAACTAGCATAGAAAACTATAAATCCAAGAATTTTCCTATTATGAAATATAAAAATTTTTAAAAAGTTCGTTTTATAAACATTTATGCCATTAAGTTCTAATATAAACTTCTCTATCATGATGGTAAAAATATCAAAACTCGTTGCTGGTTTGACGACGTAATAGGTTGTCGTAAATAAAATGCATTTAAAATATTTTTTTTTATCATTAAAATGTTTTTTATTATAATGTTTAAGCCTTTTGACATTTTATGTGAAGCACTCCGTCATTCAAATGACCTCCTCGCAAATGTTTGCAAACTTCGAACCGTTTGAGAAAATTTTCGATCACTTTTTAGCACATATTGGACGGTATCTTAGACATAATTTCATGAATGTTGGTTTTAAGTGGTCAGGGGGGTTATCCGCATTAACACGGTCTTGCGCGTGACACCAAAAAAAGGTCCAACGGCCGGGAAATTTCCCTCGCAATGCTACCATATTCGCTTGTAATGTGTGGCATGTGGCACGATTTTGTTCAAACCACATATTCTCCAAGTCGTGTTCTTCCACTGCAGGCTAAAAAAAAAATCGGTTATCATACTACCATAAAGCCTTGAATTGACGGTGACAATATAGCCGTTGACGTTTTCAAAGAAGTAAAGTCCAGTCACACTTCCGCACCAACGAACGCACCAGACAGTAAGTTCTTTTGGGTATATGGTCTCTCTTAAAATTTTTAAAAACTCTCGGAGGCTTAGATACGAAACTTTTGCTTATTTATGTAAATGTTATTCGAAAAATCGCCTTCCACTGCTTTCCGTTCGAGCACCCAGACGACGTATGCACGGCGTTGTAAATGACCTGCTGGCTTCAGTTGTTGTATGATCTGGACTTTATATGAATGGGAATGTAAGTCATCAAATTTCTTAATTGCCGCTATTTTTATGGGTGGTTGCGATGTAGGCCTGGGTTGAACTACATCGGGGAGGCTTGCGCAATTTAGCACCAGCTGAAACGACTCTAATAGAAAACCGCAAAGAACATTAAATAATTTCACCAACAACTGTACCTCAATTTGCTAAATGTGATGCGATGTTATGAATATTTCGCTGAACACAAAATAGCCCATATTTACTGTTGGTAATTTAAATATAATTCACTTTCCCGCTGCAACTTTGAGATGATACAACTTATAGTTTAGAATTTGCGCAGACATACCTACTGCCAACGCTTGGTACTGCGTCGACAAGCAGACTAAACTTATTTAATTTTTAATTAAATAAATTTCTCTACGCAAATGATACTCGCCATGTTAAATTTATGTCTACGAAAAGTGTACAGTAGAAATATATCTCCAAGTGAGCAAATGACAGCAACCAGCAAAATGCGATAAGAACTTCTTCCAAGAGAGATACAATGCACAATACACAATTTAAGTAAGAAAAGCAATAACATAGGAACAATTAGAGCTTTGTAACCGCTGAAGCGATTTTCGGCCGAGGTACTCCTCCGATTTCTGGTTTTTGCGTCTTGATGTATTTCCAACAAATGAAGAGACCTATAGTTTATACTAAGCCGCATCCAAACGGTTGATGGTTTTTTATGAGGAGCTTTATTTTCATGTCAGAAACGCACGTGGAGGGGCTGATATTCCCTGCAGGGGGGCGACCACAATTAGAAAATTTAGCTTAATTTTTTATTAAAATTAATTTTCTATAACTTTTTGGATGTTAGTACGACACCGGGATTTGAACCCGCGTACGTAATGCTAATAACTCGGTTACGGCGGCCATCCACGTCATAGTATGTACTATTTATATGTATGTATTTGAATTTGCTATTTACATTATTCATTAGCGCGGAAGCCTTCTGTAGAGGCTTATCAAGCTTCAGTTGAAAGTTACTCTGCTATGAAGGAAATCTGGGAAGTACTGTTTTTGATGGCGAATTTGGGGTTACAAGTTTAGTTAGATAGCCAATTACCTTTGGGCTTTCTCTTGGATGTTTTAAAATTGTGAAGGATTGCTCTTTATGAACGGCTTGAACCTATCGCGAATTTACGCCTACAACCAGGTAGAAGAGAAGGATGACATGATTAAAAGTGCGTTCTAGTGCGCGCTAATCCCGTCACCATGTCGAAACCGTGCTTGGCAATTTTAATGGCAGGGTGGGCAAAAAAGGTATTTCTTTCGCGATATTCAGGAATTATGGCTTTATGTCATATCAGATTTCGGCACAAGAAAATTCCTTAAGTTACATGGCTTTCGACGGATCAAAAATCAAGCAATCCAATCGATCATGCTGTGATTGATGGAAGATATGTCTGCAGTGTTCTTGTCGTAATACCCGCCAACAAACGAGAAATGAAGTTTCGGAAGCAATTGGTTTTCCAATGTAGAACTGCACTGTAGATCAAACTGACTGCAACGTTGCGATCGACGGAGTTAAAACGATACCGAGAGTTGAAGAGGGAGCGAAGCGCATTGGCAGACAAAAAAGAAAGAGGCTGAAATACGGCAAGGGTCTCTATGTCGAGAGTGGAGCATACTCTTTTAGGGCCCAAAGAGGGGATTTCGCGACTGATACCCAGAGCATATTGAACTTATGAAGGGAGCACTTCTCCAAACTATTGAATGGCAGTGAAACTGAAAACCCCAGGAGATTACAAACCAGAATCCTAATCGATGTCGAAAAAAGAGATGTTTCAATGCTTGACTATAAAGAATGTTGAATAGTATCTGGTTCTTTGCAGAATATCTTCGAACGAAAGAATGTCCAAAAATTGGAACTTGAAGTGTGTTCTACCCAATCCTCAAAAAGAGATCCCTGTGCGGTCCGGATCTGCTCAATATCGCATATAAGATCCCACCCCGCACTCTAAAAGACTAAAGCTCCCAGTCAATAAACTGATTGCACCTTATCAGTGCGAGTGTAGACATGGAAAATCTGTAACTTTGAATTCGTAGATAATTACGGCTGTTTTGAAGCAAAAAATAACAACAACACCAATATCAGTCTTCAATTTTAATAGAGTCACGCCTGAAAACAGAAGCTCCTTGGGACTGAATAGGCATTGAATTGAATTGATTCGTTACAGAAACAAACAATAAGGGTACCGGATCACAGTTAAGATGCGCTGGCAAATGGGGTAGTTGTGGCTGCTGAGGAGTTCTGGCATTGTTCGATGGGAAATAACAGGACCCTTCTCGAGACTGGCACTTAAACAAACACACTAATGAGTAATGGGCAAAAGCTCACTTGCTTGGGATCCATCGGTGGATGTAGTACCGAATTTTGCTGCATAAATAATTATTAGTTAAAGGAATAAACAGATTTTTAGTAGACACAGTAAAAATTTAATTAAACAAGTCTTAACAAATAATAATAATTTTATATTTATGATTCATGAAAGAACTTTCATCTTCGCAAAATGTGCGCTTGGGTCTTTATGTTGAGGACTCAATACAATTGAATGAAATGCATATAAACAGTAGCTTCTGAATTTGTTATTTCATATTTCAATAATGAATTTTATAAACACAACAATGTCTTTTATATGCACTAACTGAGTTCCAGCAAGGCTCATGATTCGGCAGGTAGGGTATGTAAATGAGAAAACATCTCTTCTTTTTGTCACTAAATAGTGAACGCTAAAACCCAGTCCAAAAACTTTGCTACATCTGCATATACCACATATTGATCAATGATGCATTTATTGTGTTTAGACGGCAAGGTAGCGGAAACTATCCCACGAAGCATCCAACGACTGCTCCTTCGCAGCAGCAGCCCAGCGCCAGAGTCGCCTGTGCAAGGTCCAAGAAGTTTAGGTTTTTCAACAGCTCTTAGTATTGTGCTACGTGTTGTCGACAATAACCCTGCACAGAAAGTGCGATTACTGGTAAGAGTGAAGAGACCCGGATTAGATGCAAAGCACACTTCTTCGGAAACAATGGGCACCTCGATGATTCGGGGAAGTGCGGTTATTGTCGGTAGTTCATCTTTTGAATGGTTATTACTATTGCTGTTTAATACACCCCAACCAACAATATAGCCGCGTTCACCAATAATATCTTTGATCTGACTCTCTCCGCTCCACAAACAAGCTGGACGTATGTACATATTAAATCTAAAAACGATAACAATTTCCAAAGTCATAATATTTTAAGTGAAATTATGGCAATAATAACTAATAGTACATCGTGTAATTACCTCACTTTATGTTTTAACACCACCACCGCAATGTCTGCATCGTAAGTACCCAGAGAGACGTCGAAGTCTGGATGTACAAAAATGTCACTGACTGGTGCGGCTATTGAATGTTCTTCGTTCCAACTTCGCAAATTATGCCGACCTAAAAATACTAGTATTTCGTTGGCTTTATATTGATGCTTTCGCAAATGAAAGCAATGTGCCGAACTAACGATAATGCGCCATGACACCAAAGTTCCCGCGCATTGATATACCAGTGATGTCAAGTTGTTTACATAGATTGCTGCTAACCATGGCCAGTCACCGCGTGATAACACGGTTTCGGTTGTACTGCTTGTTAAATTTTTGATGCGGGCAGGTGTGTTTGGCAACAGGATAGGAAGTGTTTCAGAAGCTACTACCAATGGAGTGGTGGGTTCATCATCGGTAGCATTTTGTTTATTGTTTTCATCTGTAGTCGCAACGATTCGATCTCCGCCTATGGGGATGTAAGTTCCATGCACATCGGCATGTAATTTTGTATTGCCAATATTTCGTGTTGTAGGAGAGGGGAGTATGAACGATGTCCGGGGGTGAATGTTTACAGCTGTTTTCCCACAAATATTAAGCAGCTCAGAATATTTCGAAGTTCTGAAATTAAGTGGCTATGTTGAGTGTTGAGTTCAAATTATTCACGGCGTTTTTTATATTATTCTGTATGCAATATATATATATATATATCTAACATAGTTGTGTTAAGATCACGGTAGCCGAGTGGTTAGTAATGCGTACTCCCATTATAATGGGCAGCGTTCACATCCTGGTACGACCAAACCAAAAGTTATAGAAAATTAATTTAAACAAAAAACTAAGTTAAATTTTCTAATTGCAGTCGCCCCTCGGTAGGGCATATCCTCCGAATGTATTTCTGACATGAAATAAAACCTCCTCATAGAAGCCACCAGCTGTATAAACTGTAGTTGCCCTCAAATGGTTAGAAAACCATCAAGACGCAATCTCCGGCCGAGCTTTTTCTTAAATGTTTAGTGTGCGACTACAATTTATTCTAGGTCGCCACCAAACAGATGATAGATTTTTATGAGCAGCTTTTTATTTCATGTCAAAGGAGTCGGTATTCTTTGCCGGTGGGCGACCGGAATTGTAAAATCAAATAAACTAAAACCCATTTCTATATTAAAAAAAAAGTATAGAAAAATAAAAGTAAAGTGCATGAGATATAACCGTTAGCATAAATTTTTCAAAACGTACATGTCTGCTTGAGCGACTGGAATATGTTCCCCGCTGAATTTTGTGTCACTTTGCATGAAATCAATGTCATCATCTTCCTCTTCATCCCCCATAAACGAAGCGGAGTACTGTGTGAGTTCCGGCGGCTTGTCAGACGGCTCTTCATTGGTGATGAATGTAAACTTTCTGATGTGTTCGAGTTGAATCTGTGTAATGAAAGGACTGTAGTCTGCAAGAAACATTTTACTTGGGTTGAATTGTATTCCTTTTATGTATTGTCAATCAACATCAAAATCAGGCTGTACGGCGTAGACTAGTGTACCTGAATGACCCGCACAAATGACATTATTGTTCACGGTAACTTGTTGTAGTTTCGGTGGAAAATGTGTCTTCGGGAACTTGACTTTGTACAGCACTGGTGCATCCGTGTAGTATTGGCCCCGCGACAGCAATTCAATTTCTCCGAAGTAACTCTAAAAATTTAGTAATATATTGCATGTATTATTATATGCATATACATAGTGTTACTAAGTACATTGCGACGTGCTCACTGTCGTTGGCTTGCCACGTATGGTAAGTGTAACTTTAATATGTAAAGCTGCATGAAAGTCCGGATTACGCACGGAAAGCATGCCGAACCACTCAATACCGTCGAACCGATATTGAAATAATTTTGGACACGGACTGATGGGAATTCCCTGGGTGAAAATTCGATTTATTTGCTGCAAAACGATGACGACGATGGTGGTGAGATGGAATCGCATCCCGAATCAGTTTGGTTTCATTTCTTTTCAAATTGTAGCTGTTAAAATATGGGAGATTTGCGTAAGTTAACTTTTCTAGATCTATGATACGCTTTTTTATCAATTATTCAAATTCTAAACATTTTTCTTAAACGAATTTCATTGTTTCTTACCTATTCCGCACATTACATGTTTCATTTACTTGCATTGACTCGCTTGAAATTTGCTCCATATTTTAATCTCAAATACTGATCAACATCATATACATACATACGTGTATGTACACACTCGGATGTATGCCGACTTGTTGGATTTGTTTCGTTACAGGTATGTTTCTATCACTGATTACCTAGACTTCTTGATGAAGAACCGTTAAGCTTTCAATTTCATTTGAATGAATTCCAATCTATTTGTTATTGTACATAACATAACATACTCATATGTACATACCTACATGCCGAAACATGCACATATATACATATACAATACAAACATATGTAAGTATGTAAGATTAGCTGGGTAGGTACCCTGCAAGGAAAAATGCTGGTTGTTAACAAGAATTCTGCTAGTGTACGCTTATATTGTACATCAAACAGTTCATCTTTAATTAATTTTACATTAAAGCAACTGGTATTTTTAACATGGCGATGACCTTCGAACTGTCAATTGTCAGTATATACATCAACACCATACTAGTTAAATACCAGTTTATATATACCAGTTGAAATGCTGGTTCCTTCATACTAGTTGAGAACGAGCTCGTCACAGACCTAGCTGCATCTGTACTACTCAAAAACCAGTTTGATTAATTCAAGTTTATCTACAAAATTCTACTACTCATTTGTATAAGTACGAGTATATGTATGTATTGATTCAATAGACTTTTTTTTGTTTTACATCTTGCATAATGAAATCCTAAAACAAAAACATTATTCTGGTTATTATATTGAAAATGGAAATTAAAAATTTTAATAAAATTTTTTGAGTGCCTTTAAGTAGTTTTGAGGATGGTTTAAGAAATCTCCCTGATTAGAAATCGACTTATTAGAAAAAACGCACTTATGGTTCCCTTTACTTGAAGTTTAGCACATTATTTCTTTCCAGAAAGTTGGTCAGATATCGATCTATGTATTTTAAGCTCAATTACGACTGTTGAACTTTTTTTACAATTGAGCAAAATATAAAAAACAACAGTAATATGTGTTTATTGCAGTTGTAGCGGCAAGTCTAATAATGTCTGGTCGTAACTTCTAGTTACCCTGCAGGAAAAAAGTACTAATTGTTATGTTGTTGTATTTTTAACACATCTATGTCTCGATTCTGAAATAGATTTGAAGTAGTTGCATAACAGATCATTTAGGCATGTTGAATTTCTACTTCATCAAAAAAAAAAATAAAAATAAATATATAAATAAAAATCAGTTTATCTGCTTCAAGAATCGAACCGCGAACATCACGCAGCGCAGTGTTGACTACTGTTATGATGTAGAAAGCAACAAAATACGTGCAGTTCAACAAAACTTATTCGGCAATTAAACTCAGCATTGGCCTGCTAATAACAACAATAACAATCTAATAACGAGTTGATGAGAATATCTAGGCAAAAAAAAAAAATAAAAATAAAAAAAATAAAAAATAAAAAAAAAAAATAAAAAATAATATTGTAGTATTAATTTGTTTCTGGAAGATTTGAGACGGGAGCCTTACGTACTACAGCGATAACCCCTAACAATTTGGATATCGTGACTATGACGCAGTCAATATTATTTCGCGCTTTTCAAGAAAGCAGAGAATGGAATTCAGCCGTGCCGTGCCGATATAACAACAACAAATGGTTTTGAAAGTTATTATTTCTCCCGTTGCTGGTTAACTCCTGTACAAATATTAAACTGGTATGATTTCATTTTCAAAATACTAGTATGTAACTACTTTAGTATACCTTTTCCCTGCAGGAATTTACTCTACGCAGAAATATAAAATAATCGACACAGCATATATACGTTATTATAATACACATATACATATATATATTAAACACTTTGGGATAACAAGGCGTGGTGATCCATGCATATTTAATTGTCTATCAAATCACTACTTCCATATAAACAATTGAGACATATCGGCGAGCTCGAGATGGTCTACTAAAATTTTTTTAAAAGGGACGTGAAACTTCCCTAACTTATTAAGGGAAAACTTATAATTCATTTTGAATTCGAAACGTACAAAAAGGGTTAAACTCACGCGTTCGCCGGTGATTAGAACACTGTAAATGGTCTTAGTACAATATTTTGCGAAAATTTAAATCTTTTTTAGTGTTCTGTAGGAATTTATAATTCCTGGAGTCCATTTGCCCTTTCTATCAATAACCAAAACGGGTATCCAGTTGGTTACGTGGATATGTATCCTTAAAGTGGATTTATAGTCGAGCGATACGTCACAAAGTACCTATTGCTGTTAGCTTCATTCGTTTGACATAGCCGAAAGCCGTCTTAATTCCGTGCTTGCGGATCATGTGGATATTTTACTGCAAACGTAATTATGTAAAATTTATTTATCATTTTTTTTCAAATTCATTCAGACTAATATAAAAGTTAAAGTTTTAAAAATTTAGAAAGTGAAGTATTTACATATATGCAGCAAGGGTTCAGCCACATAGACAGAACTTAAAATAAATTGGCATTTGCACATATGTACTGGTATGTAATTTTTCATTGTTTTCCTCTAATAGGACTTAAAGAACTCAAACGCTACATTTGTAGTATGAGAAAATTTAGCAAAACCGTAATTAAATCATTGCAATTGCGTTATAGTCACTTACTGCTGCTGATATCAGCAGCACTGGCAGCAGCAACTTGTCCAATTGCTTTTATCACATATGCTCTGATAAGAATTTCCAGCCATTCTCATTCCTCACATTCTTACCGCGCAGGTGCGTGAAAATATCCTTATAACATCGCAACGCATTTAACATTACAGTCGAACTGTTATGGAAGTATGTTAATTACCAAATGTTAATTAGCAGCGCTATTGCGAAGCAGTGAAGAAGTTTTGCCCTCTGACCTTTAATAGTGCTCACACTCACCAGGATCATAATACAAGATTTCAAAACAAGTTTATTTATTATTACCTGACGGGCTCGGCCACAACTTGTCATGGCTTACTTGTATTTTGTTCCAATTATATGTATATATATTTTGTATTACTAAAATAGGTGATAGGTAGCAAATGATTAAAAGTTCAACTAATGCAAAAAATTTAAATTTCTTATTATGTTATTGATATATGTGTGATATATATATGTATTTGTATCAATGCGGTTACAATGTTTGGTGTTTGAGGTAAACAGTTTTTCGCTAATTAAAATCTCCTACGAAAATGTAAATATGAATGTCTTGAAGCAAGCCGAGCACCACTACTCCGATCAACACTTATTACATGGATATAAGTCCCATCAAACTCAAAAGATACAGAAATTCAAGCAAATAGATAGGGATATTACAACCATGTGACTATTATGGTGGAGGTAAACCTAAATCTCTAGGTTGAAGGTCGCCTTAACAAAAACGCATATTTCATTCACTCGGCCAATGAACAGAAAAGAACTTTAAATCCCACCTAACTCTAAATTATGCCTAGGTCAAAATTATAAGACGTTCCATTACCTGTCGATGAGGAAGTTCGAATAGCAATCGCCCGCTTAAAAAAAGGGGACCCCATAGTCTGCGCCAATTACCGTGGGGTAAGCCTCCTTAATATCGCCTATAAGGTACTGTCCAGCGTATTGTGTGAAAGACTGAAGTGGCTTCAGACCTGGTAAGTCAACCATTGACCAGATATTCAACATGCGCCAAATCTTGGAAAAGACCTGTGAAAAGAGGATCGACAGCCACCATCTCTTCGTCAATTTTAAAGCGGCCTTCGAAAGCACGAAGGAGCAGCCTCTATGCCGCTATGTCTGTATTTGGTATCCCCGCAAAAATTATACGGCTTCGTAAGCTAACGCTAGACAACACCAGCAGCGCAGTCAGAATTGGGAAGGACCTCTCCGTGCCGTTCGATACCAAACAAGGTTTCAGACAAGGTGACTCTTTGTCGTGCGATTTCTCCAATTTGATGATCTGCTGTCATCCAATAAACAGTCATCGCATTCGCAACTTGTCTCCCATGTCACTGTTGACAGTCACAATTTTGAAGTCGTAGATGATTTCGTTTCTAGGAACCAGTATTGACACCAATGATAACGTCTTGAAATCCACAGCGGAATCACTTTTGCCAACAGGTGCTACTTTGGACTGAGTAGGCAATTGAAAAGTAAAGTCCTCTCCAACGAAAACTAAACTCTACAAGTCCCTCATCGTTCCCGTCCTGTTATATGGTGCGGAAGCAAGGACGATGACAACATCTGATGAGTCGACGTTAGCAGCTTTCTAGAGAAAGGTTTTGGGTAAGATTAATGGTACTTTGCACACTGGTAGCGGCGAATACCGCAGCCGATGGAATGATTATACGGCGACATTGACATAGTACAGCGAATCAAGAATCTGCGGCTGCTCTAGCTAGGTCATGTGATCCGGATGGATACGAATACTCCAGCTTTGAAATTTTTCGATGCAGTACCCGCCGATGGAAGCAGAGGAAGAGGAAGACCTTCACTTCGTTCGGAAGACCAGGTAGAGAAGGACCTGGTTGTACTTGGTGTTTCCAAACAGCAAAAAGAAGAAACGAATGGCGCACACTTGTAAATAGGCTATAATCGCGTAAGCGGCGTCTACGCCAGTAAAGTAAGTAAGTTATATACACATACGAGGGGATTAACAAAAGATCAGTAAGTTGACCAAGAAACAAAATTATTTTTGTATTTATTAGTTATCTTTGTAATTTTTTATTTTCCTTAAATAATCGCTAATGATTTCAATGCATTTGTGAAGCTTATAGATCCACTTCTGAAAAAAGGCTTCAAAATGTTGCTTTTTGATCTCATCAAGTTCAGCATTAGCCGCTTTAATTATCTCCACGTTGCCTCGTTAAAGACCTTTCTATTTAAATTTCTTTTTAACTTTTAGAAATAGCCAGAAATTAAGCTGCTTTATCCTGGAATTTGATACTATACTTCGATCCCAGAGATCGCAATAAAATAAGCGTGTCCAGTGTGGGATGGCGCGTATGTCATGATGAAGAAGTAGCGTTCCTGTTTTCCCACAAATTTTTGAAAACTTTTGGTAAGTGCTCTTCGGTGTATCAATTTACATATACCGT